GGGCGCGACACCGAGGGTTGCGATCCCGTTACCGGCCAGTAAAAAAGACAAAAAGGAAAAAAAAAAAAAAGAAATATGAATCAAACATTTAGCTCTTTACCTGTTTCTACCCCTCACCCCATTTCAACTCTGCATCCTGCACTTCCCCATCACCGCATCCTAGGGCCTCCCAAAGGAGTTTCCCTTTTCCAGTTTATTTGCATAAGAAGAGAATATAGCGGAGTAGTTAGGAGGGAGGAAGAATAAATACACCTTGGAAAATGCCTAGCACCAGCGGTGTGGTGAGAAAGTTGCCCCACATAGCTACAGAGCTCTCCTTCCCTTAATCCGCCCATTTACCACAGAACACAGGCGCTGGGAGAAAGTAGGGGAAATATTGCAGGTAAAGGGGTTGGAATGATGGTGCGAAGGAAGAGGGGTGCTGGGAGGAGGGGAAAACTAGGACATATGCATTGCGATCCCCCTGTCACAGTGCCTACGCTCAAGACACATACTCTTCATTAGCAGACATCATGCTAGTAGTCCACCACCAGCGTGTACTCTAAGCTGTTTTCCTAGTAGGAAGCCTGGCTTGTGACAAGCTTTGAAATTCTTGAAGACCAGGGGCCATGCTTCTCTCCCTCTTTATAGCTCTAGCCTTTAGTGCAGTACCTGGCAAGCTCCATCCTTTGAAGAGAGGTATGGGCACAGCCTGTGGCCTGGACCAAGCTTGTGGACTAGGACAAAGTGACAGTGATTAGCCCTGTTCCCTAGCCCTCATTCAAACTGTGCTCCCACCACCTGAGCTAGCTGTTCATTTCCCACTGAGTCAAACTAACAATAGCAGCCACAGCAGCCATTTAATGAGTCTCAGCAGCCATTTATTGACTGACAGGCAGTTTTCATACATTGTATTTACCCATCCAACAACTTTGCAGTTTGCAGATGAGAAAATTGACAGTAAGAAGGCTTGTATTTTACCCAGGGCCACATAACCAAAATGTGACAGTCAGAATTTGAATCCAGATCTGTCTGGATTCAAAGCTGGGCTCATTTCACCACCTTTGCAGTTTGCAGATGAGAAAATTGACAGTAAGAAGGCTTGTATTTTACCCAGGGCCACATAACCAAAACGTGACAGTCAGAATTTGAATCCAGATCTGTCTGGATTCAAAGCTGGGCTCATTTCACCACCTTGGGGCCTGGATGTTCCAGCATTTGCTGGAGAACTGGAAGGTGCTGGTGCTGGAGCCTGAAGGCCCGAGGAGCCCAGTGCCCAGTTCTACTTAGTCTCCCAAGGTCCCTGATCTTTCTTTTCACTTCCCCTCACCTGCCATTCTTCTCTCCAGTGTCTTCCTCAATTTCCTGGCTCCCCTGGGAGCCACAGATAATCGTCATTTTGGGATACATATGCCATTCTGGCTTATGTCTTTTTTATGTGGGAGTGACCAGGAAGAAAAAGAGAAAAGGGAAAATGCTGGTAGAATAAAATTAATACACAGACGGAGATTACAAAAATAAAGTATAATTTTAACTCAGACTTTCAATATTTGTGACAATGGACAGCTCTGCTGACTATGCTTTGTTTTGGAGAGTGAAGCCTGTTGGGAGGACGGGAAGTCTGGAGACCTAGGTTCTTTCACCTCATACCTTGGAGAGCCTGGGAATGACACTAAGGTGGCACTCTTGTGTACTTCCCCTCACTCATGATGAACACTTGTTCCTCAGGGAAGAGACTAGCTTAGGTGACCGCGGGCTAGATCGAGGAAAAATCTTCATGACAGTGAGCGGTGAGAGACCTTAAAAGAGCAAGAATCCCTCTTCCCTAGAGGTGGTTTAACTTGGAGAGATTGCCTCATCTTGCTCATGTGAGTTGTGAGAGTAATGTCAGAGAATGGGAAATGAAAGGTCTGTGTTTTGGCCAAAGGATTTTCCTTCTTTCTCTCCTACCCCATCTTCCTAACATTAGGATCTGCACACAATTTGTCCCCATTTCCTTCCCCTTCTCCTGTCTCACCCCTAGTGAAGTCTATGTTTTGGTTCCTGGAGGTGAGAGGAGCTCTAGGGAAGAGGATCAAGAAGCTAGCAAGGGGAACACTTCAAAGTGTTTTTTTAAAAACCCCTCATTTACTTGATTCATGAAGCTCTCTGCCCCCCTATTTCCCCAAATCATTCACATCTTCCCTATTATTAGCCTTGATCTTAGAAACTTTGGAGGAAAGCAGCAAAGTGAATTGTGTAGGACTGACCACAGACAAGAACGCAAGGGGTCTTGGCAGCTCCACAGGCAGTTAGGAAGGTGGTGGTGTGAGAATAAACATGTTTTTCTAAAGTTAGGGCTTGATGAGTGCTGGAAGAGATGTTTGAGGAAGGACGGGGAGAGGTGACAGGAAACCCTAGGTTGGCTGAAAGAGGAACCTGGACACATTTGGTTTTCCCCTTCATCCTACCCAGCTTGCATCACATATCAGTTTCATTCTTAACTCAGTTCTTCCAGGGGGTCAGCTGTATCTAGTGCCCCTGTGCTAGGCCCCCCAACCCAGTCAAATGACCAAACCAGTCCTAGTCATCCAAGGTTATATCTTTGAATTGATGTTGGGAAAAGTGTGGGAGACAAAAGGAAGAAACATCTCAAATAAGAAAACCTTGCAGCTCAATCTCAATTAGAGACTGCTATGAGTGAGAAGCCAGTGTCTGGCTGGGGAGATTTTAATTCCACAAATACTCCTCAGGCCTGGGATAAATTTCACTTCTCCTGTGTACACGGACAGGTGGCACTGGCCTTCACATCCCTAGAACTAGAGTTGGGCAGGTGAAATTTTGCCCTCAGATTGAAAACCTGGAATGGGACATAAGAGAAAACCTCCTCCCTTCACCCTCCCCTCTAAACTTAGAAGCCTCCACATGTACTTAGGAATAGCAATATATTCCTTGCTATATCTTGGAGGCAGGTGATGTGTGTAAAATGGTCAGGTTGTGTCTTTATTACCATTTCTCTCTTTCTGTCCAGGTGAAAGCTTCTTAATACTGCTGTAGGGGTCACCTCTTCCTCAAGTCTGAGGGAGGGGGTGAGTAAGGAAAGTAGGCTGGGAAAGAAGGGTTGTAGCCCCGGGGGTCAGGCAACAGCAAGAGCAGTGAGTTTGTGTTTTTGTTCTCTTTTTTTGATTGAGGTAAATAAAAAAACTTTATCCTGCAACACTTGCAGGTGAGAGTCTGTCCACACCCCCCACAAGTTCCAGACCTTGTCCTCTTCTTCACATCAGGCTCTTCCGGTACTGACTGTGCTGGGTGGTCTGTCTGAGGTGGGAGTCAGGGGGTTGCAGGTCCATCTGTCTGTACAGGTCCCTCAGCTCCCTGACTTCCTGCAGCACCCTCTTCGCCTGGCTCCAATTTGATGACGCCTCTCCCAGCAGCCGCTCTGTCTCCAGCAGCAGCTGCTCTGACTCAGAATTGGGCAGAGACTGAGGGGGGTCCTTGGCCTTTCGCTTCCCATCTCCCAGTCCCTGAACTTCTGCCAGCAGCTCCTGAGTCTTCTCCAGTTTCCTTGCTACCAGGTCCTGGATCCGGGACAGCTGCCCCGGGTGGGGTGGGATGGGGGTTGGGGGATCCTTGGCCTGAAGGTGGAGGGTGCGGGCTGGGGCAGCGTCCCGCTGAGATAGGATCTCCTCTAGAGAGGCGCAGCGGCCTTTCTCTGTGGGGGTCAACTTCTTGGGTGCCTGGGGGGTGTAGGTGGCCCCCTTATCCAGCTTTTCCCAAGGTCGGGGAAAGATGCCTCCCCGGTCTGAGGAGGGCTGGACATGGTCAGAGTCTGCTCTCCGCCGACTGCCTGCAAGCTGGGCCACAGACTTGTCCAGGTCTACCCGAAAGCTCTCAGCACAAGAGGTTGGTTCCTCAGGGGAAGGGTCTTCCTCTTGGATCAGGTCCAAGGTCAGCATCCCATCTGAGGTAGAGGTCGCAGCCTGGGGAGGAAGAGAGAGGGAATGAAGGGAGCAAACTGTCAACAGTAGGGATATCGGGAATGACTGCCTGGAAGACAGATGCGTGCTGTGGCCATTTTCCCCAACATGTCTTCCCTGGATGAGAAGCCCTCCACTCTTGACTGAGCCCTTCTACTTTATTTACTATTTCTTATTCCTTTGATAGTGATCTGAACTTCCTTTATTTTTCTGTGACTTAAAGTAATTTCTCCTGCTTGTTTCCCATATTCTCCACTCTCCCATAAGCCTCCTGAGCAGTGTCTTCTTTCTCTGTATGGTGGACTGTGAGCATCAAATTGGGTTTGACGCACACAGGATGCTCTCCACGGCATAGTAACTGTCCTCCCCATCTGCATCCCCTAAGCCACACACCTCATCTCCCTCTGCCTTATAATTAAAATTGTTCAGTTATTTCCAGATATAAGAAAAATTTAAAAAGTGATCAGGGTATTCATAAGTGATTAGGGTGGTTACACATATGTTGTTTTAATCATTCCTCACAGCAACCTTTCAAGGAAGGCATGATTATCACCCCCTTTTATAGTTGGAGACATGCAGCTTCAGAGAATCACAAAGATAGTTAACCGCAAAGCTAGGTTCCAGCTCAGGTTCTGTCCAACTCCTAAGCCTACGTTCTTTCTACTATACCTGATTGCCTTTCTCCCTGGAGACTTAAAGCTCAGAGGAGTGAAAGAAACCACTACTCTGTGTGATACAAGGGTTCACCGTGATCCTTGCTCCTCTGAATGACTGTGGTACTTAATGTTGTTATCCACCATACAGCAGCTTCTATTGTCTTGAACAGTATTCAACTCTTCTATTTTTCACTCTCCTGTGAGTATATCTCGTTTTCCCCAAAAGGTGATAAAATTATTGAGAACAGGTTACTTTTGAACTCATAGTAGGTGCTGAATAGATATTTTTGATTTAGAGGAGTCAGGTGGGGACATAGGGCAGAGGGACTTCCCTAGCCTTTGATCTTGGTACCCAGGAGGCCTCCTGCCATTGCCTCTGGTGGTACACAGCTCTGTCTGAGATAAACTGACACGGAATTGGCCCTTTGGCAATTTTTACATTCTTTCAGTCTTACATACCACGGCCATTAGGTGTCCCCGAGTTGGGGGGCGGCGAGAGTGTTGGATTTTTGCCCTGTCTCGAGTTGGGTGGGCTAGATAGCTGTCCTCTTCAACGGTGACCTGAAGAGATGGACTGTGAGTCAGGGGTGCTCTTCAGAGAGACTCTGTCCCAACCCAGCATACCCCAAGGCCCGAACATGCCTGGACTGGGAGATAAATCTACCCCGTTAACTGCTCCAAGCAGAGCCATGGGCAAAGAGATTTATTGGACATGAAGAGGCTCCTTAAGCTGACCATAACTGGCTCATGCATCATGAAGTGGGGAAGAGAAGTTGGCAGAAAAGACTTAGACAGAAGGTAGAGGAGAATAGGGTTTTCAAAAGGGAGATAAGGAAGTAGAGCTGATGAGGGAGCAAGTAAACGGGGCCCACAGAATAATCCCCCCTCTGGTGAGTCACAGCTGTCCCCTCTGCCCCAGAACCCCTCTCCCCACAATGAGCCTCCTGACCTCATCCAAGATGCGGTTCTTGGCTCGGATGATGGCAGAGTTGAGGGCATTGATCCATGATTCCTTCTCTTCTGGACTCACTGCCAGGAAGATCAGGTTGGGTGCCTGTGAGGGGAAGATTCTTGTTTCAGCCAGGGTTTTAGAGTTGGTGCCTCACCTTGACAGTGAAGAAATAAGAAATTATAATCTCATTCTCCCAGACCCAGCCCTTAGAAGAGAGACTCTGCTTCTGGAGTCATCCATAACTTAAAGAAACCCAGCTGCTATTCTTGCAAAATTCCACAGCTCGGAAGTTGTTTTAGAAAGGGCCAAGGAAGAGCTAAGAAGAGTACTGGATATTAACATGGCACTGAAGATAATTAGAGGAGGTTTGACAAAGGACAGGTATTAAAATAAAGACCTTTAAATGTTTGAAGAGATAGAATGTGACAGGAACAACTTCCCTGGATCCTCAGAGAAATTAGACTCAGAACTTCAGGGTATGGGGACCGGTGATTTTCTCCCAACAGAAGTATGTGTGCATGTATGTGTATATGTGTGTGCACACGTGTGTGTGTGTGTGTTTAAGAGAGAGAGATAAATAAAGAGAGAGATATAGATAAATATGATCTTTGTGGCTGAACAGGTTAAGGCTGGTCTGCTGGAGGGAAGGAAATAGCCACATTATTCTCAGGTGAAATAATAAAAGCCAAGAGAGCAACTCAGGGTCTCTGAGCCAAGACCCCTGAGAAAGAGGACCTGAAGAGGAAGGAATTGTCTCTGCTGTCCCTCCCCTCCCCTCCGTCACTGTTCCAGTGGCCAAGGTGGAGAAACATACCGTGTTACCGGGTTGTTTGGAGTGGGCAAGAGTAAACTTGCTGTGATTTTTCTTGCTCCTGCTCTTAGATTTCCGGAGCTCTTCACACTTGTCATAGTCACTCAGGTCAAACACCTCTTGAATATTTTTCTCATCTTTTACCTAGAGGAGGGTTGGGGGTGAGGTGAGGCAGCTAAAATTATTTAGCTCCTCCCATTGGTCTAAACTAACAAACCATTAGTTTAGACCAGTCTTCGGAAGAAGCCTGAGGAAAGGGAGAGGTGACAGGACAGGAAAGTCTTACCCAAGGCCTACAAAGACATCTGACATCTGAGGACAGGACTGGAGTAGCCCCACGTCCTGACTGCTCAGGGTGGTTTCTTTTTTTTTTTTTTCCCTTTTTGTCTTTTTTCATGACCGGCAATGGATCGCAACCCTCAGTGTCGCGCCCGTACCGGACCGGGACCAGCAACAGGATCGCAACCCTCGGTGTCGCACCCGCACCTCGCTCAGCCAGTGAGCCGCTGGTCTGTATGTGGGATCCGAACCCTCAGCGGGAGCGCCGCCGCGCTCCCAAGCGGCGCACTGTAGCAGTGCGCCACCGGGCCGGCCCTCAGGGTGGTTTCTGTTTAAACCCCTCATCCTCACCCTCCTCAGCCAAGATACCATTTCCAGGCCCCAGTATGCTTCTCTTCACCCATGACCTCCTCTGTTTCTAAAAGGACACGGCTTATTTGTCCTAAAAAGGCTCATGTCCTTTAAGGGACATGATGAATGATGAATATGTTGATCCAGTCATCCTTAAGCAAGCAAGACCTGGATGGCCCCTGAGGTCCAAAGGAAGAAGATAAAGGCAGGCCAGGATCAGAGGATGTCTGGAGGGAATAGAGCTGCCTCTGGCCTCCCCAGTCTTATGTTTACACTGTGGCGTTCTTCCCCCCACCCTGAGGGTGGTTTCTGTTTAAACCCCTCATCCTCACCCTCCTCAGCCAAGATACCATTTCCAGGCCCCAGTATGCTTCTCTTCACCCATGACCTCCTCTGTTTCTAAAAGGACACGGCTTATTTGTCCTAAAAAGGCTCATGTCCTTTAAGGGACATGATGAATGATGAATATGTTGATCCAGTCATCCTTAAGCAAGCAAGACCTGGATGGCTCCTGAGGTCCAAAGGAAGAAGATAAAGGCAGGCCAGGATCAGAGGATGTCTGGAGGGAACAGAGCTGCCTCTGGCCTCCCCAGTCTTATGTTTACACTGTGGCGTTCTTCCCCCCACCCTGATACCTCCTCTAATATGCACTATTATCAAGAGACTCATCTACTGTGTTCTCTTCAGGAGCATCATCACCATAGGAACAGCAGACCCCTGGGTTCAGTTTGTTCATACAAGCTGAAAAATACAACTGCATTCCTACCTCTCCTTACTCACTCCATGGTACTATGAAAATCCAACCTACGGCCGAGCCCGTGGCGCACTCCGGAGAGTGCGGCGCTGGGAGCACAGCAGCGCTCCTGCCACGGGTTCAGATCCTATATAGGGATGGCTGGTGCACTCACTGGCTGAGCGCGGGGCAGCCAGTCTCAAAAAGGACAAAAAAAAAAAAAGAAAATCCAACCTAATTCCTCCACACATGAAAAGCCATTTAATTCATTAGACTCTCCCTGGAAGACTACATATGAGACTTGGAAAAAAGTATCCTGTTACCTCTTTCTGTTACTCCAGTTTGAGAGCTCAAGCCCCCTTATTGCCAGGAAGCTCTTCCTTGTATACAAACTTAGCCCTTCCTGCTGTAGCATGTCTAGCACTCTGGTTCTACCTTTAAGCAGCTTCAACCAATGTTTGGCTCTTAATGCTCTTGCTGAAACTCTAAGCAGAGACCACAGTTCTATCTACATCCTCCAACCCCAACCAACCTTTTCTGAAGGTCACAAATCAAATTCCCTTAACATTTCCTTAAAGGTCCGTTCTAAACCTCTCAGAACTTTTTCTTCTTTCCCCTGAAGTGGTGTTCCCTATAGCTCTGGTACTCTGAAGCAGTGGCTTATGGATTTGTCTTGGCTTGCAAGGACCAAAGTTACAGAGAGGAGACTTAGTTACTGGCCCAGACAGAGCAGTCTGTTCACCTTCTGTTACTTGAGCCCCACATTGGAATACTCCTGGAATGACTTGGTCACGTTTTCCTGGCATGAGAAATGAAAAACCACCAGCACTTGTCCTGTTAAAACTAAACAGATAAGGGCTGGCCGATTAGCTCTTGGTTAGAGCACAGTGTTATAATACCAACATCAAGGGTTCCAATCTCCATACTGGTCAGCCGCAAAACCAAACCCAACCCAAACATATAAAAGTAGACTCGCTTCTTCCTTGAAAGACATCTACCCTCCCTGATGAATTATTTCACAAAAAAGCTGTCACTTCTCAAGCTCTGGAATAGGAATATGTGTGTGAATGTGACCTCATCTATTGTCCTGGTTCTTGTCAACCTTGAAGGCTGGTGCACTCACTGGCTGAGCGCGGGGCAGCCAGTCTCAAAAAGGACAAAAAAAAAAAAAGAAAATCCAACCTAATTCCTCCACACATGAAAAGCCATTTAATTCATTAGACTCTCCCTGGAAGACTACATATGAGACTTGGAAAAAAGTATCCTGTTACCTCTTTCTGTTACTCCAGTTTGAGAGCTCAAGCCCCCTTATTGCCAGGAAGCTCTTCCTTGTATACAAACTTAGCCCTTCCTGCTGTAGCATGTCTAGCACTCTGGTTCTACCTTTAAGCAGCTTCAACCAATGTTTGGCTCTTAATGCTCTTGCTGAAACTCTAAGCAGAGACCACAGTTCTATCTACATCCTCCAACCCCAACCAACCTTTTCTGAAGGTCACAAATCAAATTCCCTTAACATTTCCTTAAAGGTCCGTTCTAAACCTCTCAGAACTTTTTCTTCTTTCCCCTGAAGTGGTGTTCCCTATAGCTCTGGTACTCTGAAGCAGTGGCTTATGGATTTGTCTTGGCTTGCAAGGACCAAAGTTACAGAGAGGAGACTTAGTTACTGGCCCAGACAGAGCAGTCTGTTCACCTTCTGTTACTTGAGCCCCACATTGGAATACTCCTGGAATGACTTGGTCACGTTTTCCTGGCATGAGAAATGAAAAACCACCAGCACTTGTCCTGTTAAAACTAAACAGATAAGGGCTGGCCGATTAGCTCTTGGTTAGAGCACAGTGTTATAATACCAACATCAAGGGTTCCAATCTCCATACTGGTCAGCCGCAAAACCAAACCCAACCCAAACATATAAAAGTAGACTCGCTTCTTCCTTGAAAGACATCTACCCTCCCTGATGAATTATTTCACAAAAAAGCTGTCACTTCTCAAGCTCTGGAATAGGAATATGTGTGTGAATGTGACCTCATCTATTGTCCTGGTTCTTGTCAACCTTGAAGTGGGGAAGTGTTTCTCTCCTCCGTTCCCCGCCCATCTATAGTCTTGTATCTGCCCGTCCTTCTGAATTGCTGCTGGACCCAGGGGGCTAATGACAGATGAGAACAGATGATCACACAGCCCTATTCAGGTGAATGACTGCTCATACATCTATTAGGGTACTTCAAGAAGTTCACAGAAGATTCACATTTTCTTTTAATTCTATATTTCCATGAACTTTTTGAAGTACCCTTGTACCTCCATTTGTTTCAGCAAGGCTTGGCTCCTCCAGGGCTCTCCCCTTTCCAGGGCTCCTTGGCTTTGAGCTGGGGAGTGACCAGAATCCTTGAAGGATTATGGGTGGAGGTGGGACAAGGTGCTGGCAAGGGGTGTCCGAGAACAATTCCCAGAAACATGCGGCAGGGATGTAGGATGATGCATCATCCCTCCTCTCCCCTTCCTTCCCGGAGTTGAAGACTATCAGCAGAGGCCAAAAACCTTGGACAGGAAAGTGCTGGGTGTGTATATGTAGCCAGGGGAAGAGAGTAACTTGTTCTATTTTCCTTAGGGGAAGAGAAGGGAGTTATTCTGGCTTGGACACAGGCTGATAAGGAGCTCTGGGGAGCAGGAGACATTGACAGAGGTTAGCCCTTGGTAGGGAGGGGGTTGGAGACAGGCGAGGCAAGCAGTAGGACAAATATATTTCAGTGCCCAGGGAAGACAGACAACCCCGGGAGCCTTGTTCTTCACTGTATTGTTCCCCTGCCCTGCCATCTAATTCTCCAAATTTCACTTATAATTACCCATGTTCTAAGTCAACCTTCCTTTCCCCCGATTCTTTGTCCTTGGCCCCCAAGGAAAGGGATTCCCCCACCCTCCACTTGCCAAAAGAGTTGTCCGGAACCCAATTTCCTTTACCACAAGGTCTCCCTAAGGTCTAGCTCTGTTCCTATACATCAGCCCTTAATCATAAGGTGCCCCAGCCCTCTCTGAGAAAGGGTGCCCTTTGATAGAGAATGAGGAAAATGACTGACTACAAACAGAAGGAATTCTATGGTGGATGCAGTTGTGAAAGACCGTCTTTATGAAGGGAAGTAACAAAAAAAGATTGTTGCAAATTCTTGGAAAGAGGGTTAGGAATTTTCCTGCATTAACATATAAATTATAAACATTATACTATGCTTTAAAAAAAAAATCTTGACCCTATTAGCTCTGGAGCTTTTGGGAAGTGGGCAGAATAAAGCCTAGAGTCCCCTGTCAGTTTTACATTTAACCCAGGCCCATCATGGCATGGAAAGTGGCTAAAAGAAGAGTAACATGTTAATGCTCGGTTCCTCTCTTCTATGCCCTTCCTAGCAGGGGGCAGTTGGCACTGAGACCAGTCAGATGCTCCTGACTCATAGGACACCAGGCATCCTAGGCTGAGGTCATTCCATCCTTCCCCGAACTATCTCTGTACCCCTTCCTCCACAAACAAAAATCAACTACACTCTTTCGCCCTAGACCCTGCTCTTTGGGCAAGTACAACAAGAAAAAAAAGTTTTGTTCCTTCCACCCTTTCACTGTTCTCCTGTTTCTCTTTGGCATGCAGGAAGCTCTCCCTGATTGCTCACTAGTTTCCTGCCATTCTGAAATTCCAGGAAGACAGGAGATACTTTGACGCCTGCATTTTTTTTTTTTT